GGATTTGGAGACTACGCGTTCTCGTAAATAGGTTAGGTTGTGGTTGTGAACCGCGTATATCGGTCTTGTGTGGTAACTATTGGGGGTTTGAAGACCCGGGTGGATCCTTGTTGCTTAGTATGTTGGATTTTGGTGTAGTATTGGGTATGGACTGGTTATTTTCCGTGTCATTCTATTCTGGACTGTTACGCTAATATGGCGGTGTTGGCTATGCCAAGGATGCCACGGATTGAGTGGCGAGGTTAGACGGATTATTCTTTCAATAGGGAGGTTTCGTTTTTGAATACCCAGCGGATGGCTGGGAAGGGTTGTTTTTGTTATTTGGCCTTCATGATGGATGTCAGTGCAGAGACATTGATTCAGTTCCGGTGGTGAGGGATGTTTTCGGATGTGTTTCTTGCTGCAGGGCATATCGCCGGATAGGGTTGTTGATTTCGGTATTGATTTGGTGTTTGGCACTGTATCGTATTGCACTGGCGAAGTTAAAGGAGTTGAAGGAGCAGCTTTAAGAACTCCTTGATAAGGGGTTCATTAGTAGGCCAACATGGAGGTGTGTTTTGCATTGAATCGGCTTGGTTGACTCCGAGTTGTATTGTTGGGGGATGTGTGGATTCGATTGTTATTGAGATTATTAGTGATCTGAGGAGATCTATGAGTTACCTTTATGTGTTTCAAGGTGTTAGGATTTGTTGGTTATAGGCCCATGTGGAGCGGTTGTTATTGGGGTCTCTCAGTCGAATTCGAGCGGAAAGAGTATTAGGTATTGCTCGGCAGAGGGCGTATCAGTTGTGTTCTTTCGGGTTTGTGTAATATTATGTCAATTGATTCGCCATGGTTATGATGAATTGCTTTTAGTTCTAGACATCAAATTGCGCATGGTTGTTGATTTTGAGCATAGTAACTTGAGGTGTTTCATGTGGACCATTGTTTGGATGGGGTCTCGCATTGCAGAAAGTTATGTGGAGATATGCTCCTTCGGGTTAGATTTGTGTGTTCTAGTTCTACGATATGTGACGGGTTCTCACCATTGTGTGTGGTAGTACTGGTGAGCTTGCGGTACAGCTCTTTCATCTGGGTCATTTTCATGATTCGAGTATGTTCGGATTGTTGCTTATTAGTGTACGGATTGCACGAGTTGTCGCTTTGGTTTGTATTGATGTGTCATGTCACCAGAGTAGTTGTGTTGGGTTAGATGAGATCGTTGGGATCTATAATGAATACAAACGGATTCGATTTCGGCATGTTGGAAGGAGAATATCGAGGTTCAGCTTAGAAATTGGCTATGGTCCTTGCCAAAGGAGAAGTGGCTTCACGAATGGTTGATCTGAGGAATGGTTATGACTTCCTACGTGTTTCATTTATCATTGGCAGTATACCAAAGTATTGGAATGGGGCGTTATTGGATAAGAGGCTTATTACCGATATTCGGTTGTTTTGAGCAGCTGCTGTGATTAGAAGTTATCGCTACGAGTGTTTAAGTTATGTGGTATATCATGTAATTGCATCGAGGTTGCAAGTATTATTTTTACAGCTTGTTCGAGCTTATTCAGAGTATAGAAGTGAGATTCTGGTCTTATGGATGATTTCGAAAGTGGAAATGTGGTTCTAAGGTTTATGGGCTAGGTTAGATTGCGAAACATCAGTTACATTGTGTTATCGGACCTATATAAGATAGGGTGACATGGGATCATTCTTGGGTATGTGCATGGTAAGGTTACACAACAATTTGATGGGTTTCATAACAACTCTAGGCACGCTCGAGGACGAACGTATGTTTAAGTAGGGGAGGATGTAACGACCCGACTGGTTGTTTTGAGCTTTTGTACATTGATCGCCAGTTCTCGGACATGACTAGCCCCGTGTGATGTATTATGACTTATGTAAATCGTCGGTTTTGGTTTTCAGGGTAATCGGAATTGAATTTGGAAGAATAGTTCTCAATTTGAAAGGTTTGACCAATTTTTGACTTGTTAGTATATGATCTCGGATTGGAATTTTTATGATTTGGTTAGCTCTATTAGGTGATTTGGGGCTTAGGAGCGTGATCAGAATGCATTTTGGAGGTCCGTGGAAGGTTTAAGCTTGAATTGACGAAATTGGGATTTTGGTGTTTTCCGGTTGATAGGTGAGATTTTGATATAGGGGTCGGAATGAAATTCCGGAAGTTGGAGTAGGTCCGTTGTGTCATTTGTGATCTGTTTGAAAAATTTCAGGTCAATCGGACCAAGTTTATAGACTTTTTGATCGAAAGTGGAATTTGGAAGTTTTTAGAATTCTTAGGCTTAAATCCGATGTGATTTTGGTGTTTTGATGTTGTTTTGAGAAATCCGGATATTGGAACAAATTTGAATGAGGTTATGATATATGTTGGCATGTTTGGTTGAGGTTCTGGGGGCCTCGGGTGAGTTTCGGGTGGTTAACGGATCAATTCTTGGACTTTGGAGTTGGCAGTTTTGCTGGTTTTTGTTGCAGAGATTTTTGTTTATCGCGTTCGCGGAGGGTGCATCACGTTCAGGAAGGGTGTTTTCTGTGTTGATGAATTTGCTCTACGCATTCGCAAAGGATAGGAAGAGAACGCGAAGGCGAAGGCAACATGTGCATCGAGGATGCATGATTGGGATTGCGTTCGCGAAGAGGTGTGAGGTCGTTGGGCACCCCAGGCCCTTGAGCTATGCGTTCGCAAGATTTTTATCGCGTTCGCGAAAGGCTGGAATGGCGAAGCATTGCATTCGCGTGGCAGCGTACTCATTCGCGAAGTGAAAAGTGGAGAGGCAGTTAATTTGGTCTACGCAAACTTGAGAGGGTGGTCGCGTTCGCAAAGAAGAAAATTTTACCTGGGGCCGATTGTTTTAAAGTGTTTTATGTGACTTTTGGTCTATTTTCTCGATTGTTGAATGATTTTTGGAGCTTTTGAGAAAGATTGAAGAGGGAATCGAAGAGAAACACTTGGAGGTAAGCTTTTTGAACTCTATACTCAATCCTAATGTGATTTCTACCTAATTAATCATGGATATTGTAGAATTTAAGCCTTAAAATTGGAAGTTACGGCTTGGAAATTGGAGACCTAAATCTAGGAATTTGAGTGGTCAATTATGGTCAGATTTTGATGTATTTGATATGTATAAGCTCATAAGGGTGTAAGGATTCTAGTTTTGTAATTTTTATTGGAATGCGAGACGTGGGCCTAGGGGTCGGGTTTGGCCAATTTCGGGATTTGTGATGTAAATTGGTCATTTCCGAGTGAGCTTTGTTCGCTTAGCATATTTTGATGGTAGAATTCTGTTTTTGGATAGATTTGGACCATACAGAGGCCGAGTCGAGAGGCAACGGTATCGCGGGCTAGAGTTTGGACACGATAGAGGTAAGTAATGATTGTAAATGTTTGTCCTGAGGCTATGAAACCCCATATTTCACATCGTTGTGCTACTTTGAGGTGACGCATATGCTAGATGACGAGCGTGAGTCATGCACCGTTGGGGATTGTGTCTTAGTCTGTCCCGTATGACTGTTAAGTTGCGTATTTGATTGAAAACTGTTTGATGTCATTGTGTTTTGGGAATTATTACCATATTTTTGGCTGAATGCTACATTTGGGCTTCGTGCCAACTGTTTTTAGACCATTAGGGGATTTTTACTACTATTCCTCATTGTTTTGACTTAATATTTGTACTTTTTTTTGGCAATCCGCTAGGCAAGCGCCTAGGGCTATTTTTTTATAATTAAAACAAAAACAAAAACAACAAAAACAAAGCTAGTGTCAGGTGGTCTTACAAAGTGAAAGTAATAGACTGTGATGATTACATAATTCCTATTATCAATATTGAGTAATGATCTCACAATTGATATCATAGATGATGTACTATAAGCATGTAATGTGTAAACTAGCCCGTTAAGGTCGATACAATTGAATAGCATCTTCCTTTTAAATGTGATACTCTAAGATATGTTCTTCCAGTTTTGGCCCTTTCACAAGTTTGTAATTGTCATGTCATCTCCCTCAAGGTAATGATCCAGCCATGATAGTGGACTTAAATGGTAGTGCATGCGTACTGCAAGAGAATCAATTAGATATTCTTTGCACTTTGCCATGCTCCGTGTATGGTCAGTTGGTCTCGTTTCACCCACCCAATAACCTGATAGTAAATCCAGTCCACTGCCCATCTCTCTCCTGTTTTCCGTGCTTGTGTCTATCCTTGGGTAGTGTATACCAAACTTTACTGCAGTCAAGTATTCCAATTGTTTTGCATTTTGTAGCCTGTTGTTAGAGTATGAGGTGGAATACTTAATATTTGCGCCATGATAAAATTTGAATTGGCTATTTGTTTCAAGCCTTGATGCCCACCCGTTGTTGTTGCTCGTGCCTTGTGTAGACCATGCATGCCTGATGATCCATGGACGATAAAGTGTACAGTTTACGAGACTCCAAGTTCATAGAATTAATGTCCCAATGCGCATGACTGCACTGTCTTCATCATACCTTGGTAGTTGAAACCATGCCTAACTGGTTTTTGCTTCTTTTGGTATTGCAAATGCAGCATGATTACGAAGTTCAATGCCTTTCATATCCCAAGTATCATGTTTTCTTTTTGAAATTTTCCTTATTGAGATCTTTATCTGCTCTTCAGATTTGTGCCAGTAGATCCACTCATGTTTTACTGCAATAGAGGTTTGTTGCACAGCTATGTTTAACCCTTTATATGATGTTTCCTGTGTGCATGAAGTCTCGTCCTCTATCTTGTTTACTTTGCCCAATATTATATTTCTTCTTCTAGATTGGGTGCAATACATTAATATCATCATATGGAGTCCCTTGGTTGAGTTTCACATCAAAAAGTCCATAAGTCCAAGTCTTATGTATTTCCAGTAGGTTCCTGCAAAAATAGAAGCAATGTTAGTGAGAAAAAATATCAACATCATCTCCTCCACAAGGATTTGATGATGTTGATCCTGATATAACAGTTCGATCACCAATTCCATTGCCATTTTTATTATACCTTCTTCTATTGTCTCGACACTTTTACTCTCAAGTACGGGCATTGCATTTTATCTCCATTAATTAGCCTCATTCCTTGAGTGTCTAGCTGATAGAAAGAGTGGCATTGAGTGTTCCCCTGGTCGAGAGCATAGTTTGTCAAGTGATCAGCTACCTTATTTACTTCTAGATATATATGTGATATCATGCCATTCATAGTTGTCAACAGCTGCCTTATCTCCTTCGCCTCTTTATCAATAACCCAAGGTGGCTTCCAAATCCCTTCAATCACTCTTTTGAGTAACATTGAGTCTATTTGCACCCAGACATTGAATATGCCCACAGTCCTGCTATATTGTAACGCTTCTAATATAGCCTTAATTTCTGCTTGTGTATTTGTTGTCTCTTGTATTTCCTTGCCACACCCAAATATCATATCAGCATGCTCATTCCTCAAACAGTAGCCAATGGAACTCCTTCCAGGGTTGCCCCTCGATGCCCCGTCTGTATTTATTTTTGTCCAACCTGGTATTTGAAATTCCCACAGTACCTTGTTGAACTTCAGGTTAGGAGTGTAATCCTCCATCATTTTCAGCATATCAGGCCATCGAAAAGGTACAGAAGTAATTCCAGGTTTCCTCGCCTTAATAAGTGACTATAGAGTCGTGCATATTTGGAATACAACCCTGTTAGTTGACACTCCTCCCCATGTTTATTGTTATTCCTCCTTTTCCAAAATTCCCACAGAATGATGCTAGGCATTGCTAGAAAAATTGGCTTAAGTCTAGGGATCACCTGCCATGTCCAGCATTTCACTATAGCTTGATGCAAACTCAATCCCTCCAAAGATAGACCAGCATAGGAAAACAAGTATGACCATACTCTTGAAGCTGTGCAAATAATAAAAAACATGGTTAACTGTCTCTTCATTAGGTTGTATACAACACCAACATTTAGAAGGCATAAAATATCCCATTTTTCTAAGTGCATCATCTAGTGGCACTTTTCCTTTCCATAGCTTCCACATGAAAAAAGAAATTTTAAATGGCAATCCCTTAATCCACATGTTAGAGTATGAAAGTAAATGATCTTTCCTCCTTCTTAGATAATGCCAGGCTGATGTAACAGTAAATTGCCCTCTATTTTCAAGACTTCAAATGGGCTTATCTAGTTCTTCATGTTGTGCAGGACATGCTATGCTCTCCAGCATGTGCAAGGTTAAATCTTCAGGTAATAATTGTCTTAGCTTCCCCTCATCCCATTGTCCTTCTACTGTAACTTCATTCACATTTTGAATAGATTCATCAACAATGAAATCTGGGGGTGTTACAAAATAGAGAGCACCCAAACCTGTTTAGTTGTCAAACCAAAAAAGTGATGACCCCATTTTTAGTTTCCAGAAAATTTGGGGTTCCACAAGATCTCTACATTCTAACATCTTCCTCCACACATGTGAGCCATATTTCCAAGGTACCACTGTGTCATTCAGCTTCTTGCAATACTTTTGGCTAATAAAAGAACTCCACAGTGATGGTTTTGTCCTAAAGTTCCACCACAATTTACAGAAAAGAGCCTTGGACATGTCATGTAGTGATCTAAATCCAACTCCCCATTCTTCTTTAGGCAAGCATAAGGTGTCCCATGAAGCCCAGTGTCTTGCCTTTCCTTCAACAGAACTGCTCCAAAAGAATCTGGCAAACAATTTGTGTAACTTGTTGATCACATTAGCTGGTGGATTCACAACAGAGAGCAAATGAGTAGGCATGCTTTGAAGCACACTACTAATCAGAACTGCCCTACCACCAATCGATAAGAGTTTCCCTTTCCATGTTTGGAGTTTATCCAACACCTTAGTGATTAAACCCTCATAGTAATCCATTCTCCTCATTGAATAAAATATAGGGCAGCCAAGGTAAATGAATGGGAAATCATTTCTCCCTATTCCAGTAATACCTTCAATCTTCCTCAAAACCTCATCACTTGTTGAATGGTGGACATATATAGCAGATTTTGACTTATTGATCAGTTGGCCTGGAGCTGCTTCATAAGCATTCAACACCTCCATTATTAGTCTCAAAGAGGTTGCATCTGAGGATGAGAATATAATTGTATCATCGGCATATGCAAGAAGGTTAATCTTGGGACTCCACTTAGGAAAACCAAATCCACAAAAATACAAGTTTTGATGTAATGCATTGAGGCCCCTTGACATTTTCTCTACAGCCAAAATAAATAAAGTAGGTGATAAACGATCCCCTTGCTTCACTTCTCTAGAAGACATGAAAAACCCATGTAGTTGACCATTAACAAGAACTGAGTACCAATTGTTTGACACTATACCAAATATCAAACCAATAAATCTTTTAGAAAACACCATCTTCCTTAGAACCTTTGTGAGAAAAAGCCAAGAAAGTCTATTATAAGCCTTCATCATGTCCAGCTTTATTACTACATTAGGGCCTGCTTTAGTTCTCAATCTTATGTCAGTGATAATTTACTGAGTGAGCATCACATTTTCTACTGTACTCCGTCCCTTCACAAATCCAGCTTGTTCATCAGAAATTACATTAGGAAGAATATCAACCAATCTGCCATGAATAACCCTCGAGATAATTTTTTTTTTAAAATTACTCAAGCTAATTGGTCTTAAATCAGAAAAAGTCTGTACATCATTTTTCTTAGTCAATAGGACTAAATTTGTGTGAGTCACAAATTTAGGTAGTTCCTGGCCACAGAAGAAAGCTTTGACCATTTGTAGCACATCTTCTCCAATTATTTCCCAACAAACGTGGAAGAAGTTACCATTGAATCCATCAAGTCCACCTGCATTGTCCCCACTCAACCCAAACACTGCCTTTTTTACTTCCTCCATTGTAAGTTGCCTTGTTAGTTCACAGTTCTGCATCTCATTCATCATCAGAGGTACATGATCAAGGATCCTAAAATCAGTAGGAACATTGGATTCATGAAATTGTTGCTGGAAAAAGTGTACAACTTCCTCTGCCATAGCTGTTTGATCCTCTAACAAATTATCATTTCTATCTTGAATTCTCTTCAGTTGTAACTTCCTTTTGCCATTCACATGAGCATGGAATAGTTTAGTATTTCGATCTCCATCTTTAAACCAAGCCATACCCGCTTTTTGTTTCCAAAAATCTTCTTCTAATGCCCACACTCGAATTAATTCAGCCTGCACTCTTTGGAGCCTTTCACGATTTTGAACTGTTGGATTTAGTTCAAATTGAGTCTCATGTACCTTCACTACTTCTTCCAAACTAGCTAATCTTTGGAATATATCCCTAAAAGTAGCCTTGCTCCATACAGAAAGAGCACTCTTTACTTTTTTCATCTTGTGATTAAACAAAATAAATGGACTCGCGTGAAAATCTGCATGCCAGTTTTCCTTAACAACATCCATGAATGAGTCATGCTTAATCCATAAGTTCAGATATGTGAAAGCTCTCTTGATTGGTTCCGTGCTTGAATTATATTTGAGATGTATGGGACTGTAGTCTGAGCATCTTAGATAGGTGAGTGATCTCCAATCCTGGCAAAAACTGCTGCAATTACATGTTACCCAAGCATCTGTCAAGCCTTTTAAAAATACAGTCATCTTCAGCTCTACCATTCCACCATGTGAAAATGTTTCCTTTAAAACCAATATCAAAAAGATTGCACATATTAATACAGTGCCTGAAATCATCTATCTCGCTGATATGTACCGGAAGGCCACCAAATTTTTCTTCTTCATCCCATATCACATTAAAGTCTCCACCAACAAGCCAAGGTAAAGACATATCAGTAGCCAAAGAGTATAATGTGTCCCACAGCTCAATTCTTTTAATTGCATTACATTTAGCATAGATCATGGTAATTACAAATTCTTTATGATCATCAGTATCAGTTGTCCTCAGAGTGATCTATTTTTCCATGTTGAATAGGATATCAAAGTCATATTTTTGATCAATGAAAATCCAAATTTTGTTAGAAACATTAACCACTACTTGTTCGAAGCCAATCCTTCTCCTATACTGGTCTACAGTTCTAGTCTGTTGCATTGGCTCCATCAAGGCAATGAAATCAAAGTGGTTCTGTCTATCCATTGTGATTACCCTTTCAAAGGCTTGCATTGTATTAACTGACCTAATATTCCAAATGAGAGCATTCATTATCAGTTAATTGATTTGAATATGGTTCTCCTTGTTTGAACTCCTGTTACTTGCACGACAAAAGTGACTCTTGGTTGTTTTTTCTTCCCTCTTACTGCTGATTTCCCAGTCTCAATTTGTCTCGGAGAGATGTCACCTTTCCTAGATACATTGATGAAATTCTGGGTAGTAGATTCTGCATCCATGTTTTTCCCTTTATTCCTCTTCAGTTGCTCTTCTTCTGCATTATCTTGTACAATTAACTGGTTATGGATTGGTTTAGGAATCAAGTTCTTAGAAATGTTTTTCTTTTGTATCGAATCAGTTATTACCCTTGGATTAGCTTTTTGTATCATAGAAGATGTTCCATCACCTGGGTTCACATGGGTTACAAGCTGCGACATTTTTGATTCTTTCTGATTTTTCTCAGGTTGATGTTGCATCACTTTAGCACTGTTTGCTCCTACATCCCCCAGGTCCCCTGTATCTTTAGTCTGTGCTGGAGTCTTAGTTATCTCTGCAGGGGTCAGAGATAGTCTGTTGCATCACTTTAGCACTGTTATGGTCAGGAATGGAGAGTGGTTTGAGGTTATTTAGTTGTTCAGTTGGAGGAGGTCGATTAGTGTTACCCTCATCTGAACTTTTTCCTTCAATTCTATCACTTTAACCATTTACACCTTGTTCCTCCACAACTGGATCTTTGTCTTGTACCTCTTCCATATTTTCATATCCTTCAAGAAATTCTCCTTCATCTGATTCTTCCTCTTGTTGTTGATCCCATAATCTACCTCCAGTATAGTTCACTCGCTCCTTCAAACTTTCTTGCTCAGGAATCATACTTGTGTCTAGGGATTGAGATGGGATTTCTCTGCATGACTGGTTTGTAGTAACACTTGGGATTGGGAGGTTCTTTTTACAACTTGAGTTGTAGAATTAACTATGACTGCAGCTGCATTAACTGAACTTCCTTCCCATTTACGATAGGCTCCACTACCTTTGTTTGATGATGCTACTCCAATTGACTTTGGAGTAAAGATAGCAGCTGTTGGATTTAATTCCTTGTGGATATTAGAGTTCTGCCCAGTATTATTGTTAATGATAGCTAATTGATTTCCTTGATTGTTTTCTTCTTCTAATTGTAGAGCTGCGAATTTGTTTGATGTGTGAAATTGTTGACATGCATCTACTGGATCAATGTGCCTTTTCCCATTATCATTGTTGTGCTGAATATTGCCATTAGCTGACACTATCTCCTGTACTGTAACAACATTTTTTTGTGGACTATTCCCAGATTCTTGTACCTGCTGCACAAAATGTTGATTGACTGGGACTAATTCCATCCCTGCAGCTGTTTGATTTGTAGATTTTCTATGACGATTGTCTCTTACCTCCTTCCATTCTACCGTAAGTGGATTCACATTATCTACTGGATTCAAGTTACCTACAACTTTCCCACTTGTTAAAATCATCAGAAGTTGGTTATGATGACATGGTTCTGTTTCTTGTTATTTTCTACAGGCTGCTTGCTTTGATGATAGGGTGACCATTCCGGATAAATTCTCCAGCATTTAAGACTATCATGCCCTTTTAATATACATTCATTATAGTACTTAGGCATCATATCATACTTAATATTTACCCATTCAGTCCTTATTTCCCTCGAAGCTTCACTAACAATGTCCATTCTAACATTTTTAGGGTGGGCAGCTAACAAGTTGACCAAGACTTTGGCCCTAGCACAACTAGGTCTAGTCTTTTTTATAGTAGCCATATCCAAGTGTAAAGGTTTCCCAACAGCTGAAGCAAGAGAAAAAATACACTCCATCACAAAGTACGTAGGTAATAAACCTGGAAAAGAGATCCAAGCCATAGCCATTGGAGTTTCCTCTCCTGCCTTAAACTTCACATCATAAATGAGAGGTTGAATTTGATATTCATGGCCATTCTTATCCTTGACATATTGAGTTCCTTTCGACGTAAAATCAACGTAGTCCTGCCACAAGGTCATACGTATAAGAATATGTCTGTCTCGCAGAAGTCAAATATTGCATTCACCCTTTAAACCACATTGAGATGGAACAATGCGACGAATCTCATTTAAATCTGGCCAACCATATGAAAACTTTCCCACCACAACATATTGGAGATCCTCAAGCACACTCATTCTCTCAACTTCTTCCTCCGTAAATTTAACAACAGGTTGACCATTCTGTTTTGTTGTTTGTCGCACAGTGATAGGATCAACAATAGATTGTTTAGCATTTACTACTGCATTAATCATAGCTGGTTTCAATATGTTCGAGTAGTATAATTGCTTGGATATTTGTATGTTATTGTTTTGAGTAGAAGGGGAAGCTTGGGGAGGCTGACAAGCCATAGAAGGAGGCTGGCCTCCGGAGGTGGAGGCCATTAACGACCTCAATGGAGCACGAACCAGAACTTTCCAGATTGGCGGAGCTACAGCTTGTTCAGTTCTTCAAACAATCCTTTAGTAGCTTTATCACCAGAATAACTATGACAATAAATGCAGTAGCTTTTGCTAATTCGATGCTACAGTAGTTTAGAAAAGTGTTTTAAAATTTGTTGTTGATTTTAGCTTCAAACCTGTGAATCACGATAAAAATAAATCGTCCAAGTTGTTCTTCAACCATCTAGCTTCACGTTACAATAAGCATAAATTTGTAAGGGTCATGCTATATTCTACAATTTTCATAACTCAGCCATATTTACTCGTTTTTTATATTAAAATGATATTTTGGACTGAGCATCATGTTTTACCATGGCCCTAGTGGCTTGAGAGGTTTCTGATTGAGCGAGGCTGAGGGCCTTTGTTGTGAGGATATTATGGGATAGGGTTGCACACCGCAGCAGGTTGTTATTGATTCATGATATTGTGAGGCCCGGGGCATGATTGATTTATGCTAGGAGGTGGCTTGTTGATATGAGGCCGAGAGCCTGTTTGATTATGCCACGAGATAGCTTTTTATTGTGCTTGGGCCGTAAGGGGCCCCTCCCAGAGTCTGTAAACCCCCAGTGAGCGCGGGTACCTAGTGTGAGTGATATGTTGTAGCCCGAGGGGCTGTTGTTGTTTCATATTGATGCCCGAGGGGCTGTTCTTGATTCGTGTTTGCTCGAGGTGCTAATTTTGATTGAAAGGTAGTCCGAGGGGCTGGTTCTGTTAATATTATGCCTGAGGGGCAGTTTATGGTACATATTTTGCCCGATAGGC